CATTGCACCCTTAAAACATAGTGTAGGGGTTTAAATAGTTACCTATACTCGTTTGGAGGTTCTTTTTATAACTACAGTATACGTAATGGGCCCCCAAACCCTATTCCAATTGTTAAGGCCCCTACATTAACCCTGTAACCCTAAACCCTAATTCATTGCACCCTTAACCCTAAACCCTAAATCCCTAAAACCCTAATACCGAAGCCCCTCGCCTCCATGGCCCTCCCGGCACGAGGTGGGCAAGCCTTTTGCGGAGAAAGTGGAACACGAGTCGATGACGGGTACGAGCTTTGACGGGAACCCATGGCTCTAGGCATTCCCAAACCCTAAACCCTAAACCCTAAACCCTAAACCCTAAACCTAGGGCTCTAGGGCTTTAGGGCTCTGGGGTTTTCGGGAGTTAAGGTTTTGGGGTTTTAGGGCTTTACCGCTTTAGGGCTTTAGGGGTTTAGGTTTTCGGGTGTTAAGGTTTTAGGGCTTTAGGGCTTTAGGGTTTTAGGGTTTGGGTTTTTAGGGTTTAGGGGTTTAGGGGTTTTGGGTTTGGGGTTTCATGGCTTTCCATCCAGATAAAAGGAATGTAAGCACACGAAGGTTTGAATAGCACAACCTGTGCTCGAGACCCCGACCCCTTCCAGCTACCGGCAGTAGAGATGTGTCTCCATAACCCCAAACGCCTCAAACTTTAACCCCAAAACTCGAAACCCGCAGCCCTAAACCCCAAATCCTAAAAACCCTAAAGGCCCAAAATCACGACACCCTAAACTGGTTCAATTCGTAGGCTTCTGGCTGTGCCAGCTGTAGGTTTTTCTAGATCTATAGAAACCCTACTTGGAGGATGATGGGACTTAGAAAGCAAAGTTACAAGTACCTTAAATTACGGTCATAAGTAACTATAAGTATAGTTACCGTATTTCCGATCACGGGGCCAAGAGACTCCCCCCCGCAAACCCCTTAGTTAAGGAATATACCTTGACACATATTAGGGCTCCTATTTTAGGATTGAGATGTATTGCTTAATCAAGAGGTTTTGGAGCCTCTGGGTATACCTGAATCCCATATACTTCCCATTATCCTGGGTTAAAACGGGTTAATGGTTCAGCTTGAATTGCTAAACCCTAAGCTTTGCCATAAACCCTAAACCCTAAA